TGGCAGTGTCGAGATGGGGGAGGGGCAAAGCCCGAGGCCGAAAGACTAGTGAGCACAAAACCAAGATAGCCCAGGTGGAGGACGCTGGTGGCCTGTAGAGGAAGTCAGAGCGTGGCAGGAGCGACAACCAGACGACCAGAAGGACGGAAGTAAAACGGATCCCGGGGCTTAATGGCTGCGGCACGGGGTTGGGGGCTGATGACCGAACTGTGGTGAAGCAGTTGCTGAGATGGGAGACTCGGGCAGTTCGGAAGAAAGGTGCGGAGCTCCGCTTAGGACACACAGATTGTCAGATTTCTCTGACACCCAAGTTAGATAAGCCCAGCTCTCAGCAGGGCGGTCTGGAAGCAGGACGACCCTCTGCGGGTGGACCAGACACCACCCAGAGTACACACAGAGGAGGAGACGGCCCAGGATGGCTCCCCAGGGAACACCATCCATGCAACTGGACAAGGCTTCTAAACTACGCTTCTTCAAATACACGCCGAATCACAAAACACGCTGCGAGATCAGTAGGGGAGTTCATTGCTCTCATTTCTTCAGGTGAGAAAAATGAGACTTTAGGGTAGGGTTTGTTCATGATCACCTGACAGAGTCTCGACTTTCCGTCACCCAGCCAACAGAGCCCCTACTCTACCCTAAAAATTAACTCAGTGGATCCGATTGCTGAAACATATTATTTCTCAAAATTTCGGTAGAGTGGATCACAGAAATAGGGCTTTTTACTTTTTAAATGCCTTTTGTTCCTTTTCTCCCAATCCTCGTGAAATACTGTGATCAACTTTCCGTTTTAATAAATATCACCAGACATCAAAAATACGTAAAAAAAAAAAATTCGGATAGAGGACAATTTTAGAACCTATCTCCAACCAGTAAGTTCACAACTTCTTCAAGTTCTCTGAGCTGCATAAATAAACCTTGACAGATTCTGGCTTTACGCTTATTAACTCGGCACGTCCATCCCCCGTCCTCCTATCTCGAGGACTTGCCTAATCGCTCACCCCTCCCCGTCCCTCTCCCTCTCTCCCCCGCCCTCCCTCCGGCCGCACCACCTGCTCCCGGCGCCTCCCCCTCTCCTCCCGGCGCCTCCCCCTCTCCTCCCGTTTGCCCGCCCGCGCGGGTTCTCACGCGCGGCCCGCGGCCCACCCTGCCGCTCCCGCCCCTTTCACCTCCTCGGTGCCTCAGGACCCGAGCAGGACCGCTGCGAGCCTAGCTTCCCAGCCCCTCCGGCACTCCTGCTTTTCCCCGCCCGCCCTCGGGCGCCGCGCCCCCCACGAAGTTCTCCCTCCCGCACCGCCCCCCGCGAGGACTTGAGAGGCGGTCCCTGGCCGGCCGGCGCTGATTGGCTGTCTCCTCGGCGCCCCGCCCTTGTGCACGCGCAGGAGGTGGGGCGGGCCCCGAAGCGGGCGCGCGCGGCGCGGTCCCGCGGGCGGAGCGTCCGTGACCCGCGTGCTGGCCTCCGCGTCGGGGCCCCGGCGTCCGCGAGGTGGGGGCGGGCGGCGGCGGCGGCGGCGGCGTACCCGGGCTGGGGACTCACGTGGCCCCGAAGCTCCCCCCACCTTGCCCCGGCCGCGATCCCTAGCCTCGGCCAGTCGGGCGTCCCGCAGGGACTGAGAGCTGCCCGAGGGGCCGTCGTCGTCGCCAGCCCGGTAGCCCGGATGTCGCTGCCCCCCGCGGCGGGGCCGCAGACGCTCCTCTCGGCCCCGGGAGGAGGCTCGTCTTAAAGGGACCGCGCCGTGTTCGTCCGGAATGGGCGGCGCATCCTGCCCTCTGTGCGCGACCCGTGTCCCGAGGGGACGCCGCGGCGCCCGCACTACGGGCCCCCTCCTCCGGACGGGGCGCAGTTGGAGCTCAGCGCGCCCTGCCCGGGGATGGCCGCAGATGGCCGCCCAGAGGCCGGGTTTTCTCCGGCCCGAGCCGTGGCCGGTGGCGCCGCGCGGGACCGGGAGGCGCCGGGCTGTGATTGGCCGAGGCCGCCGTGAATGCAGGACATTGTCTGGTCGCGGCCGTCTCCGTCCCTGCCCGCCGCCCTTCCACAGACCAAGATGGGTGCGGAGCGAGGGCTCTGGTTGCCAAGGTGCCCCCGGCCAGGGAGCGCCTTCAATGTGGGAACACCACGGTGGGGAAAACATAACTTTTACGAGATCGTGGGTTCTGGAAATGGCAAAAGGTGCTGTTTCAAAATACAAAATCATTCTCAACAAGGAAATAAAATCATGGTATTTGATAGAAAGGTTTCCTTTAAGATTAAAAATACTAAGGTAATTGAAAAGGGCCGCCATAAAAACGGATTAGTTTTGTCTTCAAGAGTTCTCTAAGACCTATGATAATTCATCTGAATATCCTTCATAAAATTTTAAGCTGTATATTCATGCATACAGTCATACGTGTATGAAATAACCTTGTTCAGTACATCCTCTCTGGGTCTTAGTTTCCATATTGTAAAAAAGACTGGACTGGTAGCTTTCCAAGTTTGTTTCTGTTGTTAAAATAACTCTGATTCTGACTCTAGACTTAAAATCATGATACGTCCTATGTGTTGGATCACATCTCAAGGTCTTGAAATAAATGAGATATCTTAAAGAGCCCTCGAGATGTCAGTTCTCAGATCATCTTTGAATATATGTGGGAGTTATTTAAGTGGAGTTGTAATCTTTCCCTGTGTAATTTTGGAGTAAAGGGAAGTGAGAGCAGTAGAGAAATATATGGAGATCAAGAGCAGGGTTTTCTTTCATCCTAAAGAAGTTTTCTAGGTAATGGAGTATTATAATAAAGAATAGTCATCTTTCCTATTTTGTTCCCAGTATCAAAGGGGTAGAAAGATGGCAAAAGAAAGAAGACACATATGAAATAAGAGATACACAAGTAAAATGTTTGGAGAGTTTTGAATAAAACTAAGTTGTATTTCTTTTGAAAAAGCTGGTTAGGAAAAATTATTGTAGAGTTAAAAGCAGACTTGTGTTAATACAGATTATCTGTGTGTTTATTATGTATGTATGTGTGTGTGTGTATATATATATATATATATATATATATACATATATATATATATATTTAAATCTATTTAACTTTTTAAAGGATTTTATTTTAATTCCAGTATAGTTAACATACAGTGTTGCATTAGTTTCAGGTGAACAAAATAGTGATTCGACAACTTCAGGCATCACCAATATAGATTATATTATATTATAGCTTCAGTTTAATGCCGTCTTCAGAATTAAAAAAAAAAAAGGCAATGATTTCATTTAATTGAAAAATCAACAAGAATTAGAGACTTGGAAATGACAAATGAAGGACGGAAAACATCCAGAAAACAAGATAAATTTAATGGACATGATTCATTGTAAGAGACATGACCTCATTCCTTATTAGTGGGATTTCCACTAAACCAGATTTGATGTTAAATAAATTTATTTTACAGACTTTCCTCAAAATTATACTAATTTAATATGTTTTATTGTTGTTGTCGTTTTGTGGAATGGAAAAAGGGAAAAGAAAAGAGATACAATGAAAAATTTAAAACATTGTCGCAGTTTCCTTAAATAACAGTTGTTCCAATCTCCTTTACCTCACCCATCATAATATAGGAATAAAAAAGCAGAAATCATCAGCATAAAGATTCTAGTTGTCCCTAGAAGTGAAGCATGAATAGGTGTGTGGATGTCTGTGAATGATGCAAATTTAGTTTTGATCACTTAAACTTATAGAATTTAAATTGTTGATTTCTAGAATTAAGCTGATTTTACTTAAAAGTTATTGAAGAAATGATTAAAAGTTAGGGATTAAGCTGGGTGAAATAAGCTGTTTATAATAAACACAAGGAGCAGGTTATATGATATAGTCTATAAAGCATGAAATGACTAGCCGAGTAAGTGAGATTTTTCCAGCAAGTCTTTTCCTTAGGACTTTTGGTTTGGTATTCCATATATAACTATAGAATAATCTGTATACAATCATAATGTTTACCCAATACTTAGTATATACCAAACTCTGTTTTAAGTATCTTCTTCTTCTCCTTCTCCCCCTCCTTCATCTACCCCTCCTTCTATCCCCCCCCCCTCCTTCTTCTTCTTCTTTCAGATTTCATTTATTTGACAGAGTGCACAAGAAGGGGAACAGGAGAGGGAGAAGCAGATTCTCTGCCGAGCAGGGAGCCCAATGCGGGCCTCCATCCCAGAACCCTGGGATCACGACCTGAGCCGAAGGCAGACGCTCAATTCACTGAGCCACCTAGGTGCCCCTAAGTATCTTCTTAAATACTCAAAAAATCCCAGAGAGCAGGTACATTGTTATCCCCATTTTATTTACTTACTTATTTATTTAATAGGATATGTTTCATTTTTTTTAAAGATTTTATTTGTTTGAGAAAGAGCACAAGTGGAGGGTAAGGGGCAGAGGGAAGGGGAGAAGCAGACTCTCCTTCTGGGCAGGGCTGCATCCCAGTGCCCTGGGATCATGACCTGAGCCGATGGCAGACACTTAACCATCTGAGCCACCCAGGTGCCCCTATTATCCCCATTTTATTTTATTTTTATTTTTTTCCCCATTTTTTTCTTCACTTATTTCTCAAAAAAATATTATCTTAGTCTTTTTAATCTTACATTTTTAATTGACTAAATCTTTAAAGAACTCAGTGAATTTGTCTTTTAAGTTCCAGATATACTGACATGACTATTTTGCTAGGACTACATTTTAAATATCCGCTTGTACTTTGTATATCTAAGAGTTATATCTTAATTTTCACCATCACATATGAATGAAGGCCTTATATCTTATTTTCTTTATCTAGCATTATGTCATACTCTTAAATTTGAGATAGTCTGTCTTGAGGGTAGTAATGGAAAAGATAAAAGAATGTTGTCTATGTCTTGATTGTTTAGAAAGTATTTCCATAGTCAGTGATGGTTCAATAGGTAAACTAAGGCCTATAAACCTGAACTCCTTTATGGGTAATACTGTTCAGCAAGAACATAGTACATGATTGGCCAAATGTGGATTTGTTTAAATAAACTCAATTTAAAAGGTCTGAAGCTCTCCTCTTTTCTTTGTTATTATTTAGGCAGTATGTTATATTAATGATAGAAGTGTATTTTCAACTGCTTTTAAAGAAATTAGGTAGCGACTAATGAATTTACTGTCCTACTCAAAACCGTCTACGCCTAAGGTAAGAACCTTTGCCAGTAGGTTTAAGTTGAGAATCTTTGTCAAGGGAGAGATGTTGCTCTGAATCATGAATGGTATTACGAAGAACTGAGATCTCCTTGTTTTTTTCTTCTTGAAGATGTTGAAGCTTCCTTCTGTAGATGCTCTGTGGCAAAACAGTAGAGTCTGGGTATGAGTTTGACTTAGTTTGAAGTCTTGCTGGGTTGGCATCAAACTCTAACTGTAATTTGATAATTTCACTTTGTTTCTCCTTTTCTTGAGTTCTTAACTTTGCATTTAACTCTGAAATTTCTACCTCCTTTTTCTCTATCAGGTCTTTATGCTTTTCTTCATTTGACTCAATTTTTTCCCGCATATCCTGACGAAGTTTCCTTATTTCTATCTTATGTCCCTCCTCTTTGATTTTCATTTCACTCATAAGTTTGGCAATAGTATTCTTATATTCCTGTTCATGAGATTTTAAATTTTCTTTCATAAGATCAACATTTCTTTTTAGTTGTTCATTTTCACTTTTCAAATCATGTTGAGATTTAATGGTCTGTTGTAGTCCTTTTATCATATTATGAAGAGCAGCACATTCTTCTTTAATCGAGATCTCCTTTGTTTGCATTACTTTTAGAACAAATAGTTTTTTCCAACTGTATATCCAGTATATTATTCTTTCCACTGTTTTCTATCATCTTCTCTGCTCACAGGTCCCTGCAGTTTCCCACACCTCCTCCTCCTCCCGGTGCAGGTCTGCCCCACAGGGCTGTCTCCTCCCTGTATTCTCCCCATTTTAAAGATGCAGAAAAGTTGAGTAGCTTGCCTGAAGTCAGACAGCTGGGGGGACAGAGCTGGGAATCAGGCCTAGAATCCTGACTCTGCTCAAAGCCATGTGGCTAAGTGTTCTCAATCCCTCACTGAGCTGACTTAGTTATTTCTATGGATGTGATCATTAATGCACTTTTGATCAGATTGTTTCAACAGTTACACATTTAAATATTTTGCGCTTTCATCCATTTATATTTCAGGTGAGCCTGTGGCTACCGAAGTGTCATCTGTGCTTAGTTTGCTAGAGAAAGACAAGCAGGCCTGTCACCTTTGAAGAGAAACACCCCTGAAATTTGCATCTCTGTTCTCTTTTAAGCAGACATGGACATGGGCAGCAGCACATGGGAAAGTCCACTCCCCTTTCTTTCTTTTCGTTCTTTTTCTTCTTTCAGGCCTGTGGCTTCAGGGGACCCCGAGCACAGAAGACCAGCTGGCCGTTTGGGGTGCCTCGAGCTGGTGTCCTTCCCAGCACAGGTGCTGATGTCCTTAGCCAGTATCAGCCGAAGGCTGCCAAGTCACTCAGCTCTCAGAAGACAGAGAAGGGAGGAGGCAACAAGAATGCATGACAGGAATTTGGGGATTCAGTAGCATAAAGCTGAGAGAAAAGGGGTGGCACCTTCCAGACGGTTTCCCCCCTTTCTTCCTCAGTCTGTACATTCGGCAGAGAAGTGGCACGTGCTTCATGACAAGAGTAAAGGCCGCTGCCCCTCGCATTGACCTTGGCCTCCTTAGGCTTCGTTCTACAGTGTAGCTCTGCCACCGAGTGGGGAAAGGGCTCAGTCAGGCTCAAACCATTCCCTGTCAGTACTTGTTCACCGGGCCTGCATCCGGAGGGTTAAGAAATTAGAAATAAAATTATTCTGAACAGGATCACTTGCGACTCATTAATCCATGTGATTTCTGATGCTCATTATCACTGAGAATTGAGTTGCCTAAGTCTGTTTAACTTTTGTGATTAAGGATCAGCATTAGGATTTGAGGTTCCGGGGACAGAGGGGATGAAAGGATTGTGCTCAGCTGTCTTCCACCCCCACCGCTCCGCACCCAGTGCTCTTTGTCCTTGGCCAAAAGTGCTTCTCTATCTCCTGTAAAACCCTGACAGCGGGCAGACAGCCCAACATGGAGCACAGGCCAGCACTGGGCGACCCGATCCACAAGTCCTCCTGCCATCAGTGGGTAACAGGCACAGCCACAATCAGTATCTTGATCCTAAGGTGCCTAGAGGGGCAGGTCTAACTGAAGACTGACCTCATTAGCCAGGGGCTGTCTTTATATTTTATTATAGTTCTACAGTGTTCTATAACTAAGTTCTTGCCATATGATATTTTTCAAATCCAAATATTTAAACATCTTATCAATGTGTAAAACTATTTTAAACCTAATAGCAAACACCTACTCGTGTACGTTTGTACTAGTACTTCTCACTCAACAGGTGGCCGCCCTCTCTTCCTGGGATCCCACACACAACCAGATTCTGGTGCGCCATCTTCTTTCTTTAACCCCTCAGCCTGGGGTGGGCATGGCTTCCAAAGGTCGCCACCCCGGATGCCTCACCTTGCTGATTCCTTTCGCTGAACCCATACTTCTTACTAGTCTTTTCCAAAAGTCCGAGCGAATGTGCCTTTCCTTCCCTCCTTGGATAGGACATGGATTGCCTCGGACATCCATCATGATCTGGCCCCTTACCGACACCTCCAGTTTCCTTTGTGGCCTTTCCCCGCCTTCACACCGCAAACTACTCCTGTCTCCCACACACTCTGACCCTCGAGGATGCTGTTCTTTCTGTGGGGAAAACTCTGTGAAGACTTCCTTGGGCTCCTTCCACATGGGCCGCATCTCTTACAACCTTGACCACATTGTATTGGAATTCCTGCTTGGCCCCTTCCCGAAATGGAGGTTCCTGGAGGTCAGAGCTCATGTCGTTCATCTGACCTCTTGATGCTTTGCACTGTACTGTACACATGCAAGAACATGATGAAGGAAGAACTAAAGACAAATCGAAAATGTTTCATTTCCTCTATGGATTCTTTTTCCAGATCAGCTGTCTGGCTTTTTCCAAATTTAATCAATTCAAAATTCAAGTTACATTTATTTCAATCTTGTCAATATTGACGTAGATAAAATGATACCCTTTAATTAACATTTACACAATAGCGAGCTTTTACTATGCTGGATACACCAGATATGCTCTCAAAACGTGAGTAAATTAATATTTCTAATTCAAGTGTTTACAATTTAAGGTAATCTGATTTCTTTATTAGTGGTGAAGCTTTTTCTTTTCTTTCTTTCTTTTTTTTTTAAGATTTTATTTATTTATTTGACAGAGAGAGAGACAGCGAGAGAGGGAACACAAGCAGGGGGAGTGGGAGAGGGAGAAGCAGGCTTCCTGCTGAGCAGGGAGCCAGATGTGGGGCTCGATCCCAAGACCTTGGGATCATGACCTGAGCCAAAGGCAGCCGCTTAAATGACTGAGCCACCCAGGCGCCCCAAGCTTTTTCTTCTGCATAAAAGTAACTTTCTAGGTTATTTATTTGGGAAATGCTGCTTTCTTTGTATTAGATTTGCCTTTAGAAAAGGAATTCTGTGTTGTACTCTACTACATAAGTAGATTTAACTGAGAAGTATCATTTTTGCTATTTTTTTGCCTGTGAATGAAAAAATAACAAGAACAATTTAACAGTTCTGTTCTTTTCAAGACAACACCACCGTCTGTGTGTTTTCGGCAGTGAGAGCAGGGGGCGGACCAGCTTCTCCCCTGTCCCTTCCCCGCGCTTCTCTAGCTCTAGCAGAGACATTTTCTGTAATTGGTTTTCCACATTTGCCAAGAGTCTGTTTCCTCTTAACATTCAACATGTTTAACAGAAGTCTTGTAATAGTTCCAAAAATAATAAAGCGGGTCCCAAGCATAAAAATGATCCATACACAACACATTGTTTTTTTGTCATGGCTTTGGTTTGTTAAGTTCTTTTTAATAATTTTTTAGTGTCAAATCATGTGGTAGAAATGAAAAGGTTTTCTTCACAGTAATAAAACCCACTATAGATCTAGAATTAACGACTTGTGCATAAGGCAAGAGTTACCTGCCCAGGCCACCCCAGGACAGTGTGGCCTCTCAGTGTCCAGCTCTTCATGCTGTGTTGGAAGTGGGACATTCTGGTTAAATTTAACGTTGTATCCTCAGAAAGAACAAAAGCGTGTTCGAGGTACATGCTTCCGATATATTGGGAAGGCTATTTTTAATCTGATGAAATTTATTTCTCACGTTGTGAAATGTTAATATAAAAAAGCAACACGAGCTTATATTTTATCCACCCCTGCAATTACTTCTAGGAGGTGGTTAAAGTGTCCCAAAGTAACTTTCTCTGTTTCAATAATTAGATATAGGACAGTTGAAAAAATGTAGATTTCCTTTAAAATTGTTACTTAATTTACTGGTGTTGTAGTCAATATGATGATTACCACCACTATCATTATGAATGACATACCTTTAAGCGTTGAGGGCATCTGGACTTTGGAAGAGGTTTAAAATCCCAGAGAGAAATCAGAGGCACTGGCAAGCAGGTAGTAGGGGAGTTGACAACACAATCCTTATGATTCTGTGCAAGGCATTTTAACCTTTTCTTCATTCGTGAGTCAGAATCCGAAAAAAAAAAAAAAACAGCAGTGGTACCTGAATGTTTATAACAGCAATGTCCACAATAGCCAAACTATGGAGAGAGCCCAGATGTCCACTGACAGATGGATGAAGAAGATGTGATATATATACACAATGGAATACTACTCAGCCATCAAAAAACAAGATCTTGCCATTTATAATGGCGTGGATGGAACTAGAGGGTATTATTCAAAGCAAAATAAATCAGAGAAAGACAATTATCTTCTGATCTCACTCACTCATGTTTTTGTTAAAAAAAAAAAAAGGAGGAGCATAGGAGAAGAGAGGAAAAAAGAAAACAAGACAAAATCAGAGAAGGAGACAAACCATGAGACTCTTAACCATTGGCTATTATATAAGATTGATGAATCACTGACCTCTACCTCCAAAACCAGTAATATATGTTAGTTAATTGAATTTAAATTAAAAAAATTTAAAAAACCCAAAAGATAAGCCCAGCGCAGTAAAAATAACCCTGGCGAGGGGATGTTGCCCCCTGTGTCACTGTTAGACTGAGCATCCCAAAGCCGGTGGGATCTATCCTCTGGCTCATACTCATGTTTGGGAACACGTTCTGTCCTTTCCCCAAGTCCACTTCCTTCTTCTGAAGGAGACTGCTCTTTCCCACAGGACCTGGACAGACCTCGAGCAAAAGGTCTTGCTGTTCCACGTCCGTCTGGGGTCCAGCAGCATCCATAGGACCAACGACTGCTTTGGAACTGAAGAAGCCCAGGTTGAACCTGATCTTTGGAATCTGAATCAGCATCTTAACAAGGTCTTCAGGGGACCCAGGGCAACCCCCATGTGAGAAGCCTGGCTTAGAGCACCCCCAAATGAAGATAAACAGAGACTGCCACCCCCGGGGGAGTGGGAACCCCCTTATATATATTTTATCCCCTGGTGTATTTTATACCATTGCATATTTTAGCCTATGTTTCTAGGGAAGGGAAAGACTCGGGGAGGTGGGGGGATAAACAAAGAGTACTTACCTCGCCGAGCCTGATCAAATACATGTAGTCCAAATTCAATGACCACCTTCATGGTAAACAAAAGGAAACACTGCAATGGGTACAGGTGTCATTCCACGGAGAAGGGTTACATTTCGAATCTGTGTTGGTTTCCTAGGGTTACTGTGACAAAGTGCCACAGGCTGGCTGACTTCAGTGACAGAGCATCGCCTGGGTCTGGAGGCTGGAAATCTGACCCTCATGC